ACACTTGCATTATAAAAGATGAATTGGTTGATGCACTTCACTAATGCATACAACACTTGCATTATAAAATCTGAATTGGTTGATGCACTTCTCCAATAAATCCCACCAGCAGCCCTAGCTTTCTTCTCTTCATCCATTCATCCAAATTAGGCCTTAACATGCTTGAATTGCATGAATTATGCTCTCTAAAGCCATCATTATTACCTAAAGCTCAATGAACTGAAAGATAAACACAAAAAGGATTAAAAGCACAAGTTTAACTCAAAAACATAACCAAATCATAAGCTATAAGGGTACAAAATGATATACAATTATGAACCGATCAAGGATGCAGCTAAATCCATTTTGGTGCAGCTGAATCGACGCAAATTTGCCCCTACAAGAATTTTGATCGTATTTTCCTCGTTACGACTCCGATTCGAGCCCACTACGTCTCTACGAACTCGTTTCGACGTGCTCTACGCAACGGTATAATCGAAATTCCCAAATTCCTTCTCGAACTTAAAATGATCTTTTTGCCCCTTTTTAATATTTAAGAATATTTTAATTTTCAAAAACCTTAATTAATGCAAATAATTTTATTTGATTATTTATTTCAATTTATTTTCTCATTTAAACTTATTTCCTCTTATTTTAATTATTTAATCTTCCCTGAATAAAAAGTCAACTCTTAAATCATTTAAATATTCTCAGGGTAAAATTGTCTTTTATCGAATAAATTAATAATTAAATATTAATTTAGGTTCGCCTTGTTACAATTCATCTCTATACATGTACATTACCATCCAATTATTGCATTGTCATCCTTTTCTCCTAAATCAACTACCTATTGTTTTCTTCTTCCTCTATTTCATTTGCCAAAAAGAAATAAAACATCTTTCTTTATTTCAAGGAATACAGCTAGGTTTTCATTATGACCACTTAATATAATTATTGAAATTTAAGTACTTTCTTCAAGCACTTCATTGATTTTGTTGGTCTAAATTAGATGCCTTAATAATTTTCAATTTGCATAATTTTTTGCAAGTGATCTTTGAATGAAGATGTGAAAAATAGGTGGTTTGGATTGTTGAAAAAAATTTCGTAAGGGACCTTAAAGGGTATCCCTCAAATAAAATTATTTTAGGGATCCCCCAAACACTGGCCGGAAACTGGAAAATCAAGGCCAAACCTATGAGGGTTTTGGCCGGAACTTCCTGAGCTTAGGTCAGCCAATATGGCTAACCACAGTGTCTCGCAACCTATGAGAAAGGAAGAGGGAGAGGAGAGCTACCTATTCCAAGTGGTGGCGCAGCTTGGAGTGGCCAGAAACGGTGATGGTGGGAGTTTTCGAGCTTGGAAAATGGATGGGCTAGCAAGAGGAGGAGGAGACGGAGATTTTTGGACCAGTCTCGCCTGAAATAGTCGCCATACAAAGTGACGGAGTCGTTGGGAGAGAGAGAGAGAGAGAGAGAGAGAGAGAGAGGAGAGAGAAAGTGGGGAGGGGGATTTGACGCTCGAGAGATCGAGGAAGAAGAGAGGCTGGGGTATTTCTGTGGTTTTCTAACAATTTCATAAATTCCCTATGTGTCCTTTTCATTTTCAGACCTTTTATCCTTCCTTACAACTCGGAATTAAGCATGCCACCTGTCTACGGACTCGTTTTATCAACGAGCTCTACTCAATGTGCCGCTTAATTCCCCAAAATCCTTCCCAAAAATTAAAAATAAATAAAAATAAAAATAAAGTGCCCCTACCCCAAAGGACAGAAATGCAATATCACAAAATAAAAATAAATAAGTAAAATTAAATAAAAAGGGTCGGGGTGTTACAGAATGTTATTTAAAATATTTTTTGAATTATATATCTATATATATAAAGCAAAAGGCAGAGAATGGTGAAACATTCAAAATACTAGAAAATGCCATTGGTTAATTCAAACATTAATAATTGAAATTATTAATTAAATGAGGATAATATGGTAAATTCACATTTTTTCATATTAAAAAAAATTAAAATTAAAAACAAAATTAGATAATAGGTCCTACTTTTATGAACATAACTACCCATGTTATCCTAATTTTTACAGATTTTCCGTATCGCCGTTTTCGTATTCATATCCGTGCTACATAGGTTTTTAATCTTGTTGAGCTATATGGGGTAGGTTGTTATGTAGTCTTGTTTGGTTCCACTCTCTCCTTTTTTCTTCCCTCTTCTCACTCTACCACCGAAATCCTAGTCATAATCAAAATAATCAAATCATTTCTAAGCAGCCCACTTTTCGTCCTATGTTCTCACATTAGAATATTGAAATGTTATATGTCGAAAGATTGGATTATTATATATGTTTGCCAGTAACTAGGCCCCCACACCTATGAAGTTGAAGTTGTTAGCCACGTTAGAGAAAATCCTAGATTATTTGAAATGTTGTATGTCAAATTATGTGATTAAATGGTACTCTAGGTAAGGGGATTATTTTCAAATATTCTAACCCTCTGTGATGTCGTTGGTTTTCCTTGTGCTTCATGATTCTTGTATCGACCATCAATATTTTGGTTAAATGGAAAAAGAAAGACACAAAGTGCCGTGACGAAATTAGGTGGAGGACCTGAGTATAGAGCTATGGTACCGTTATGATTTGGGTGAAGACACTTTATTGCAGAAGTGGGTATTCTCTCTTGAAAACCTATCAGAATGCTTTGTGACAATCAAGCAGCTATACATGTTGCCTCTGCTCCAGTTTTTCATGAGAGAACTAAGCATATAGAAGTAGATTTCCATTTCTTAAGAAACATGAGCAGTAAACAAATTTCTAATGTGTACTGTAGGGATAAGTTGGGGGTTACTAAAGCCATAGGGAAATCCTTTGAGTTATTGAACAAGTTGGCATGATAGATATCTATGGTGGCAGGCTTCATTGAGAGAGTTCAGCTAAGTAGAGGGTTGTGTATATGATCTTTTTTTATATATGTATTTGACAATAGGGTCCAAAAAGGGTTGAACGTTCATTTCCACTCCCAGTTTTCTCTCTTCTCACTCTACTGCCGAAACCCTAACCAACTCTAGTATTTATCTTTGCTTTTTGTCTTGGACCACGGGTAGAACTTGCTCTTGTAAAATGACCCTGCAACGAAAGGTGCCGAAGATCTCCATACAGCCCCAAAATATTCTATCTTTAGCAATATGGAAAAGTTAAGAAATAAGAAAATCTACCCCTCTTTTGTGCCCTCCATTCTCGTTGGTTTACTCTAAATAGTAATTGCCTGATAATCTAGTGCACAGGTCGCTTAATTGGAATGACATCTAAGGTCCATGCCCTTGGAATGGCTGGGACTCTAATGTTGTGACGTGGGGTTCAAAGTGATACCCTTGGAAAGACATCTTTGAAGGTCGAGACTCTTTTTTCTTTCTGCAGATTCAGTAATGGGAAAAGGTTAAGGTTTTGGGAAGAGAGATGGGTACGTGAAACATAATTTTCTTATCTTTTGCCTTATTTATACATATTATATAGATATGCGTTTATCGCTTGTTTGTGTTTAGACCCCTCTTTTTTTCCTTTATCTTTTTAGGTTTTAGAGAAATTTTTATGGGTGGGAAGTGGGGGAGTTAACCAAGTTCTATTCTAGGAAATGTTGTGTTGGTCCCATAAAGGCATGATAGGAGAATTTGGGAGTTGGATCCTCAAGATCTCTTTCTTGTTATTTTCCTATGCATGGAAACTAATAGACGACTCTCCTCTTTCTTTTTGGTCCCTCCCATGAATTTGGAAGGCCCAAGTACCACAAAAGGCCTGAGTTTCAGCTTGGATTATTGATCTGTGACTTGTCCCAGTGGGATAAACCCTATTCCTCTTTCTCTACTGCTCCATTTTCCAGTTATATACATTATACAATCTCAGTCTATTGGAGTGCGTTTTCACTGCCAATAGTAGCACGCTCACAAACAAACACACCAGTCTCTTGGCCAACTCCTGGCCATGCCAATAAAAAAAGGGCAAACACTTTCATATCAAATTCAAGAATATTAACAAGATTAGCAAAAAGAACGATGACCACAATACAAGCTTTCATATAGTTTTCGCTAGACGGCAATTTAAGAAGACTAGCAACAAGAACGAACGCTCAAATTCAAACTTTGACAACCATAAAAACTCATCAATCCTCCAAAAAAAGCAATACGAAATGTTGTCGTTCCTGTAGAGGAACTTATTTTACAAACCAAAAAGTAAAATAAAAATATAAGTCACTCATAGCAGGAGACATTCCACCCAACCAAAACAACCAAATAACAATACACGTCAACACAACCACAATTAATATTTATACATAGCGAAGCAGAGCAACACCAAGCACACAATGATCAGATGAGAAATGTCGAAATAATTTGGCTTTTTGTACTCGTTGCCACAATCGAAAACCCCAACATGGTGGCTGTCTTTTGATTCAATCTTATTGTCTTCGATGTTGCAGCGTGTCCCTTGAGCACCGTTGTTGCAGCCGAAAACCCCAACATGGTGGCCACCTATGGCGTTAACTAGATTCCTAAGAATGCTCGCGAGCCCCTTGTTGGTTCCATTGGGATTTGCAGCCTCACTTGTTTTGTTTTGTGGGAGCTCTACTTGTTCAGTTCCTTTCCCTGGGCGCGGAAATTTTTTTTTGGCCAACTCCTTGAGCAGTTTTCCAGCTTCATCTATATGATATAGATGAACACATCAGCTCAAGTTAGTTTAGTATTGTTAGAGTACCCACTTGCTATTCACGCGTTAGTGTTGGCATCTGTTAAGCATGGCTGTTAGTTACTTAAGCCTTCAGTCCTTACAATTGTATATAAGCTAAACTGTGCATTGTAATATTCATTCAGTGAAAAACCATATATACAGAAAATCTAAATATATTCTCTCTGTTTTTCAGTCTTCTTCTTCCTTCGTTTTCCAAATACCTCTTCTGTTATCAATCTAGAGACCCATCTTATATGCAGGCAAGGCAAAGATGAAAATGAAAAGACTCTTTCAATAAGCGGACTTTGGGTAAAAACATAAATTCCATACTTAGCATAACACACATTATATATGGTACATAGAACGAGAGAAGATATAGAACCTTGTTTGGGCGCTTCTTCAGTTCTTTCTTTTGGGGCCTCATGGATTGCAGCGGTGCTTGTATAACTAGTAATGAGTTCTTTTCCCATCTCCTTGAGCCGTCGTTGAGCTTCCTTTTGTGACCCATTTTATATGGAAAAAAAAAATTCAAATAAGTGGAGTCAGTTGAAAAACACTCTTTCATTAAAATTGAGATACACCACAAACTCAGATGAAAGACTCTTTCCATAAGTGGAAGTTACTTATTACACAAACTCGTTAGGCATACACACAAACACACTCATAGAATCACATCAAGGGCAACGACGTTGTTTTTCGACCGGAAGACCGAGAGCTAAGATGTTCAATAAAATTAAAATATTAATCATAAAAATTAATAATACATACCTGCAATTGATATATAAAAGGTCAGAAGCAAGTCTTAACCCCTATGGACAATACTTCTGTTCGAGCAATAAGAACTAGATATGCGCTTTGAACGCGAATATATATTTTCTAATACAAAGGAACTTTTTTGTGTGGAAAAAATTTCAACACAAAATTGACAGGAATACTCATGATGAACTTGGAATAGACTAGTCCGGTTAACATTTACTGATGATCAAATCAAGCAACTTTTGTGTGGAAAAATTTTCCTAATTAGTCTAGACAAATTTGGAATAAAAAAAAAATAGTACTACACAAAAGTAGTGGTTCACATTGTGGTAAGAGATCAAAACAACTTTAAAACTTGAGAAAATACCTGAATCGACGCGGAAGGAGATCAAAACCACGATTGAAGTTTCAGATCTGGGTCGTAGGCTAAAAGGGAGACCAGTCAAAAGCCAATAATGACTCTTCTTCGATCGTTCTCTGTGGGCTAAAAGAGATTACGTAGCTAGGGTTCAGTCTTCACCTACCACTCCTATTAGCATGCACCTAAAGAAGGATGTGGTGTGGATACCTAACATTTTGACCAAAATCACGTGCCAGATTACATTTTCACCTACCACTCCTATTAGATGTGACGTGCCATATTAAGACCACCACTAACCTAGCATTAATTGTGAAGATGCATCGAGGTTGGCCTATAACTCCTTGTCCAAGTTAACTTTGGGGCAACAGTACCACACAACCCCCACAAAAAAGAAAAAGTTTGGTGTACTATTAGCTAAAACATAAAACGAAATTAAAGTAAAAAGAGAAAAAATGATTAATTTGTATCGTTATGATTGCATGTTTAAAAAAAATATAAAGTCATGAGAAATTTGACAGAATAAAATATAACATATAATAAATGATTAAATTATTAATAGCATCGACGTCTTTTGTGTATAAAACCCCACATTTGTTGGATTATGCTGGTCGTTAAATTAAGGACAATATCGATGTTGGTAGCAGTGGGTTGCGGATCGATCCCGCTGAAATCTTAATTTGTTTTACATCAAAGTTGAAATGAATGATTGTGGATTTGTATGGGGACGTGAAAGTGTCAAAAGGGTGCAGATCTATAGTTGATGAAAGCCATCCCTGCTGGTACTGTTTGGAAAATAATTGCTACCAAAAAAGATAATTAATATTATCTGAACAGCTCACCATGTTAATTGAAATGAAGTGGGATTGATTATTCCATTGACGAGCGGGAACTTGGAGAAGCATTTTCTCATTCTTGCGGTGGCACTACTAGAAATATGGCTACTAGCCACTGATTATTTAGATACAAATTCATAAAAGTGCCTTGTGATTTTTTTTTGGATACTAATCCTCCCACCATGCCTGTTAAAGGTATTTGATAGATATTAGTGTGTAATACAAAAAAGTATTTTTCATTATTTTTCCTTAATATTTGGGCATTTTATCAGTCCCAACTTGTTATTATCAGTCCTAACTTATCAAAAGAAGCCGGCTCCATTCACAAATAAGGGAAATTGGCGGCTTTGCCCCTGGCGCAACTAATTTATTCAATAATATTCCTATTTTGAAATCAAATCACAAATACCCCATATAAAAACTCCCTATTGACAGTCTATTGCCCATCCTTCACTTAGTTTTTGTTTTCTTCTCATTCGTTGCTCTTGCTCTTCCTCTTCCCCTTCTTCAAACCTCACAGAAAATCCACCTCCACGAATCTCACCTAACTCCATATCCTCTTAGTTATATCTTCCATCTCTATCTTTTCTTGTCTTCTCTCTCTCGTTCTCACCCACGATGATGGAAACTGTCACCTCCTCAGAAACCCTAACCCACATCAGCGATGGCGACCTCACCCTTTCTCTTTCGGCCGCCCTTCTTCACCTCCATCTCTCACTCTCTGTCACCTTTTTTGACTGCCATTCTTCCCCTCCGATTCAACAAATTTCTCAATTTTTCTCAGCTTTCCTGAAATCCATGGCATCTCAGGTACTTAGCTTTTCTGCTTTACTTTCACACCCATATGTTATTTGGGTTTTCTTATGCTTGTTTCACTTTCATATATGGATTGGAATTTTTGGTGCTTAATGTCACTTCAAGTCCCTCCAAGTCAAATTTGAGTGAGATTGTACATAAATTTGTTGAAACATAATTGTGGGTTTAATTTAAAATTTTATCTCTCTTTTTTTAAATTAATATTTTCAGCTTGTGTAGAGAATGTTATTTAAGTAGGATTATACAAAAACTTGTTGAACCAAAATTTTGGGATTGTGCAACAAATATTTCTTTGTTTGTCGTAAGGAATATTATGCTTGAAGCTTGTCCAGGCTAAAATGATTTTGAAGTTTTTCTTTTGCTGATTGAATTTATTACTTAGTTAGGTTTTTATTCTGACAAGAAAATAATTGAAGAAACACAATTATTTGGTTCAATGGTCTCTTGGTTTTATAGGAGTTGTGTGATCTAATATAAAGGAACATTCAGGCCACTAGAAAGTGTTCTGTATCTTCAAGAATCTGTTATGATCTAAATTTGTTTTGTTATGTTTTGGGATGTGATTTTTGAATGAACTACATAAATTGATACAATGAACTACTAAGTGAGCTCTCTGCATCCATAATATTGAATCAGCAATGGTGAGCTTAAGTAGAAGCAAACACTTGATATCCAGTAAGATAATAATCGAAGTTAAATTGTGCAAAGTTAGACTGTGCTTGATGTCCCCCACTTACTTTAATTACACTCCTCTACCATGTAGAACACTTTTTGCAAAGTTAGATTGTACTTGTAGAGGAATTGGATAATGGATAATGGGTTCACCATGCTTTGTTCATTCCACAGTCCACTCTGGAATTGCTCTCCAATTCTTATAACCTTCCTTGTTTCTCTTTCTAAAATTATGTTTCATTGTTGTAGGTTGTTGCAGGCCGATGCCATAAACCATATCAGTTATAAGGCGAGAAAAAAGAGTTCTTTGATGACCGGGAAGAGTGTACAGAGGCATTGTAGTATGACAGCCATCATCATTCAGTGTTTTAGATTTAGGCTTACCTATGAGCTATTGCTAGGCTTATTGCCTTAACTTTTGGTTGTTGTTGGTGTTAGTGCTTCATGAGTTTGCTATCTTTTTAAGAAGGCCATGGAAAATGCACCTTGCATATTTGTTGATGAAATTGTTGTTGTACAACAAAGAGGACCTGTAATTTTTTTTTGTTTTGCCATCTCTTTTGC